TCATCGTCAAACGGTTCTAAAGAACGGCCACACTTAACACCAATGTGAGTGCATGTGCACATATACAGTGAGAAAATATGTGGCAAATGCCACAGTTAGAGAGCGTAGCTGATGGTATGCGTTCGTTGTTTCATTAGTTTTCTATGACTGCTGTAACAAATTGCCACAAACTCAGTGACTTAAAGTTTATTATCTGATAGGTCCATTAGGCCAGACGCCTAACGAGGGTGTCACTATGATGAATCAAGGAGTCCACACAGCTGCACTTCTTTCTGGAGACTCTGGGGTTAGATTCACTGTCTTACCTTTTCTGGCCTCTAGAGGCCGCCCAAACTCCTTGGCTTGTGGCCCCTTTGTCCCATCTTCAAAACCAGCAATGGTGGGTCTGGTCTTTCTGACATTATATCACCCTGACACTGACTGACTCCTCCTTTGCATCCCTCTTCCACTTAAAAAAATTTTTTTTAACGTTTATTTATTTTTGAGACAGAGAGAGACAGAGCATGAACGGGGGAGGGTCAGAGAAAGAGGGAGACACAGAATCTGAAACAGGCCCCAGGCTCCAAGATGTCAGCACAGACCCCGACGCGGGGCTTGAACCCACAAACCATGAGATCATGACCTGAGCCGAAGTCAGGTGGTCAACTGACTGAGCCACCCAGGCGCCTCCAAATCTCTGGACTTTAAAGGTACAGAGATCGGGGCGCCTGTGTGGCTCAGTCGGTTAAGCGTCCGACTTCGGCTCAGGTCATGATCTCACGGTCCGTGAGCTCGAGCCCCGTGTCGGGCTCTGAGCTGTCAGCACAGCTGGGGCCTGCTTTGGGTTCTGTATCTCCTTTTCTCTCTCTACCCCTCACCTGCTCATGCTCTGTCTCTGTCTCTCAAAACTAAATAAACATTTTTTAAAATTTTTTAATAAAAAAATGAATAGCAAAGTTGGGAGGTTCATACTACCTGATTCCAAGACTTACTAGAAAGCTATTTACCTTAAGGCTATAAATCAAGGCAGCATAGAATTGACATAAGCACAGACATACAGATAAATGGAACAGGATACGGAGCCCAGAAATAGGCACATAGAGATAAACGATTGATTTTGGACAAAGGTATCCTTAAGAAGCAGAAAACAGAAGTTTCTTATGAGCCAAAGCTGCCCACCAAGGCCTGGTCTACCCAGTGGGTAGTGACGGCTACATCTCTGGAGGTGTTTAAGAGGCTGGATAGCTTTCTGTCCTGAACAGACGCCTCCCAAGGTGGATCCCAAAGTTCTCTGCCTTGGGATCCCCAAGGCTGCCGAGGCTGCAGGGAAGCGGCCGCTGGTTGCTGTCCGTGGTGCTGAAAGCGCACAGTTCACCACATCCTACTGCCCTCCCAGTCTGGGATTCTGGGTATTTTCTATTTGCATGTACTATCCAATCTTTAAGGATAAGTACTCATTTATTATGGAAATGTCAAACATCTATAAAATTAGAGCAAATAGCATAATGAACTTCTGTGAACTCATCACCCAGTGTCAACTGTTATTGATCCCCGTTTCATTAGCTCCCCATCCAGATTATTTTGAAGCAAATATCATATATTATTTCATTCATAAATATTTCAGTATAGATCTCTAAAAGACAAGAACTCCTTGTGAACATGTTCCCAATATATGAACACAACTAAAAAGCAATGGATATTCCTCAACATCACCAAATATTTGGTTAGTATACAAGATCAGATTCATGGATGCGATTCAAAGCTCAGAGGAGTTGAGGTAGCTTCCTGGGGATACCTAATGTAGCCAGGACTTAGGGCTGGGACAGAGATCATCCCACCAGCATCATATGACCCCAGCCAGATTGGCACATACTAGCCTGCCTGCCACAGATGACATTTGACATTAAGCAATTCTGAGACACAGATTGCTGGTTCAGGCAGGTGTTCACACGCACAGAATTGTCCCTGAAGACACCAGTGCCTAGGACACTACAGGCTCCAATCACACTCCTGCCCAGACAGGTGTCTGTGTCAAGATCAATTACATCAGAATTTCTGCAGAAGAGTCCTCGGCATCAGTATTTTCCACCCAGCATTCTAGTGTGCAGACAGAATAGAACTATAGCCTGACCTGCGTTTGAATGCTAACCCCACCACTGACTGGTGTCTGGGACAAGGCACTTCACCTCTTTGAACCTCAGATTTTTTTTGTGGGTTTAATTTACCATGGGCCTCCTCCAACCTGCCTTTGCACCTGCAGAATCCTCTCCTGGAATAACTTTCTGCCACCCCAAATTCTAGGCTTCCATGAAGACCCAGTTCAGAAACCCATTCCTCTGTGGTTAATCTCCTCCTGGAACCATCTTCTAATACAGTAGTATTAATTGTCCATGTTATGGGCTCAGAGCAGAGCTGGAGCCTTTAGAAACAAGTTAGTCCAGCCCCTGATTTTAAAGACAAGGAAATGAGGAATTGATCAAGTACAGAACTTGCCTGGTATCACAGAGCAGGTGCACAATGAAGCTTTAATGGTCTGGGAATCTTTCTGTTTCCTGGAGCACAGACTTCGGCATTTCCAGCTCTACCACTTGCCAGTGAACATAAAACTTTCTGTAGCTCAGTTTCCTCATCCATAAAATGCAGAGGATGTTGCCAACTTCCCAGCGTTGCTGCAAGGATTGAGATAATAAACTTTGTAAAGTGAGTGCACTTGTAAGGGCTAGATTCCCTATTACTCCCACAGAGATAGCAACAGGGGCAGGTGAGCTCCTTGGAGCAGGGCTCTGCCTCAGGCATCAGGACACGCCCAACAGACATTGGCACTCTGAAAAGCAGGCAGGGGTGGGGGTTCTGCAGCTGGCCTGGAAATGTGACTCAACAATGGGAGCCATGGCCGCGCCAAGGCTCCAAGGCCCAGAGAGGTCCTTGGCTGGAACGCTGGGAGAAAGAGGAGGGTGGTGGACCCATGACTTTAGTTCACCTGATGGGAGACCGTGGCGTAGGTCCAGAGAGGGTTCTGGTATCACACAGGTCTGGGTCCCATCAAGCTCCCCTGAGTTTTGTCCAGACTGTGCCCCACCCGGGGGTGATGTGAGGCTCAAAGGAACCCCAGTGGTCCCCCCAGCCTGGTGCCTCCCACAGAGCAGATGTGAAGTTAGTGATTTCACTTCCTGCTGCTTCTTTCTGAGCAGTAATTCCTACCATATGATGTTCGTCTACAGGAACATTTACTTTCCTCAAGCTAATACTTCATGGGGTTCGTGTTACTATCTCCATCTTACGCAAAGGGACCCTGAGGCTCAGAGAGGCGAAAGGATTTCCCTAGCTCGCGCAAACGCGCAGTTGCAAATGCGGAGTTGAGGGATGGGACTCAAACCCAAGTCGACCTCAGTTCAGAGCCCCAGATCCCACCTCTGCTCTGTAACACCTCAAGGCTCTGTGCCAGGAGGCTTTCTAGGTAACAAGCCAGGGAACTCTGACCTGGATCAGCTCCTGGGCTGTCTGCTTTATCAGCCGAGCCACCTCCAGGTTCAAGGAGGAACACGAGACTGCTGATGGATGGCGGCTCAGTAAAGTCCACAGGAGTTGCCTGGGCTCAGCTCATTCATTCTGAGGCTACATCAATAGAGGCAGCGACCAGGGGGTGGGAAGGGAAAGGCAACTTAGGTCCAGTAGTGGTCATACCATATCAGAGGCAGCACTGGACCCCATACTCCTAGAGGGATTTGAACAAACTAGGGATAAGTGGTTGTAGTTTGCTGAGCAGCAAGTCTGGGTTAGGGATGTTCCTGAGGAGGGGTTGTAAGGCACAGGCTGTTCATCGTGGAGAAGAGCAGCCTCGGAGGGACCAGATCCCCACCTTTCTATCCCTGCCAGGCTGTCTTCAGGCAGAGGGAGCAGGCAGGGTCCGTGGGCCCAGAGTGCAGAGCTGGGACCAAAGGAGAAAGCCACAAACAGATTTTCAAGCTGCATGAGAAAATGTCTAAGAGTTCAGGAGGAGAGAAATCAGGGAACACTGACAAACTGTAAAGCACTGTGAGCGATACTCGTGAACAATCTCTGCAGCCACAGTTGCGCAGAGGTGACGTGAGCCACAAATACTAGAGACCAAAAAGAAGTTTTCGGAGCAGAGCATTATCAGCAATTGCGATTTCCAACCATGTAAGCTACAGACACCTGGCAACATGCTGCTCAGAAGGATGATGGAGAAGAAGGTGGGAGCAGCCAAGGACCTTTCTCCATCTAAGACACAAAACAAAGCTATGGGAGCGGAGATGGCCGTGGGGCAAGCCCCAAAGCACCTATGAGAGAGGGGGTGATAAAGGGAGGTGTGTTTGTCCTCCTGGATGGAGGACAGAGAACAGGGGGGCAGGAATATTCTCAGAGGCCTCCTGAGCCTCTAGATTCTCAACCTGGAGACCCAGGGGGCCAGTCGTCCCCTCTCCAGAAATCCCAAGCCCCGCACCTGGGAGTGGACACAAGGCATCCCAGCTCTGTGCAGAGAGAATCCCTGGAGCTTAAAGATCACTTGACTCGAGGTAGGACAGGCCCCTTCTTGCTGCAGGGGACAATATCTGTGCCTGTCCCCACCCAAGTGACAGCAAGAGGGGACAGAAGCCCACCCAGCCTCAGTGGATCCTGGGGATGAGTGGGGAGGTGGGTCCTCCTACATATCCTAACTCTCTGGGCCTCTTCTCTCCCTTTCAACCCCCACCCCCACTCCAGGCCCTCCAATGCTCCACTCACCCCCTCTACCCTCACCTATCTGCTTCCCTGCTCCCAACCTTCCAGGGACTGCCCAAATCCAAAGTCCTGATCACACGGACAGTGCCCTCTGTGACCCAGCCTCTGCCTACCCTCCACCTGCGCACCCCGTCACTCACGCAGCTCCAGGAACACTGGCTGCTTTCTGTGGCTGAAACACCCCGACCTCATTTCAACCTCAGGGCCTTTGCACTTGCCGTTCCCTCCGCTGGCAAAGCTCTTCCCTCCCGCTCTTTGCCGCAGGTCTGAGGCCTCACCCCCGACACCATTTTCTCGGAGACGTCTTCCTGGACCACTGATGCGATGTCAGTCCCACCCCAATCTGCCATCATTTCCATCCCGTCTTGCCCCTCTCTTCACAGCACTGCCGCTCCTCAGATGATCTTATTTGCACATTCTTCTGTTGGCTGTTTAGCAGGTGCTCCTGCACCCACACCAGAATGCAAGTTGCGTTTGCGGCTGCGACCCCAGAGCCTACAACCCATTAAGTATAAATCAAATGAGTGAACGAACGGATGCATGAATGGTTCGTGATCTCTTTTCTTCAGATTTATTCCTTTGCTTCCTTTTCCTCTAGCTCATGCCTCCATTTCTCCACTCTCTACTCTCTGCCCGAGAGAGAAAGGGGCCCGGGAGTGGGGTGTGTGGAGGCACAGCTCCACCATGAGACTTCTCAAGCAACAAGGGGATAGTGCCACAGTGCTGGCAGCCAGGGGCCCTTGGACACCCCAACAGGACACACAGAGGTGGGATTCTCAACGTTTATTTATTTTTGGGACAGAGAGAGACAGAGCATGAACGGGGGAGGGGCAGAGAGAGAGAGGGAGACACAGAATCGGAAACAGCCTCCAGGCTCTGAGCCATCAGCCCAGAGCCTGATGCGGGGCTCGAACTCACGGACCGCGAGATCGTGACTTGGCTGAAGTCGGAGGCTTAACCGACTGCGCCACCCAGGCGCCCCTAGAGGTGGGATTCTAAGAAGACTGTAACCCCTCTCTCTCCTCGCACCTTCCTATCTCCTGGTTGTGGGGGCTCCCGCTGTATGGACCCAGTAGGAAATCATCAGAGATCAAGGTTCCTGGAATGAGGCAGGCCATGGGGGTTACCCTGGGGCTAGTGCAGGACAAAGGAGGTCAGAGAAAGGATCCCATCATTTCCATTTGCCTTCCAATCTCCGGTATGAGCACATGGCATTTTCTCCATTTCCTGTAAGGTGCCCTTCAAACAGCTCAGCAACACCCCGAATCCTGCTTCCCAGCCCATGCTGCCCCCAAGCCCCTTGACACGGAAATTGCGGAACCAAGATGGGTGTCTCAGCTCCTGCCTTCCTTTTTCCCTCTGATGAGACAGGGGCAGGGTGACCTGGATACAGTGACCCAGGGACATACCAACGGGCTGGGCCTCTCCCAAAAAAGGAGTCTTTGGGCCCCAGGGAGCTGGCTCCAAGGAGCAGGGGCTCCAGAGGGGCTGGTGGGACTTCCTCTGGTTCCTGGGGGTCACCCCACCCACCCAGTCAGGGACCAGAGTCTGAGAGGAAAGGGAGGCTGTCCCCTCCATCGTCCACTCGGCAGACAATTCCAGTGCTGGCCCTGGGCCGAGGGTTGGGCTCTAAGCTCTGGGAGACGAGCCAGGACTCAAGGACTGGAGGCAGATGTGGGCACAGGATCAGGGCCAGGGCAAGGGCCAGGGGAGGCCAGTCACTGGTCTGGCTCTCTTTGTGCCCCCTCAGGCCTGATGGGGAGGTCTGGGCTCCTTGGCCGGGTCCACAGGAGGAGGTGCCCCAGGCTGGAGGGGGCTGGTGACCGGCAGGCTGCGGAGGAAGCAGAAGGCGGTGAATGCAAGCTTTCAGAGCCTGGGGCTGGACGAAGGGCAGGGGGAAGCCGTTGGGGGGGCGGGGGGGGGCAGCCCTCGCATCCAGTGAAGTCCCTCTGCCCCCAGATCCTGCCATGAGGAAGGCCCCGAGCCCCTCATTCCGGCCACACTGGGGTTCCTGGCATGGCCCAACAAGTGTCTGTCGGGTGGGGTGGGAGGACATCAGGGTCTCCAGCCAGTAGGGAGGCAGGCTGAGAGAGAGCAGCCCCAACCCAGACCCCGCACAGGACCTGGAGGGACATCTGGAAGGCTGTCGGAAGGGCTGGCTGGGATCTGGCAGAGCAGGGGAAGCCACTCGGCCCGTGAGCCTGGACCCTGCCTCTGTGAGCAGGTCCAGCAGGCCGACCGGTGTGGCCGGTCAGCTCCTCCAGCCAGGCCCAACACAGGTCTGACCCACGGCGGTGACTGAACACAGGCGCCAGGGACCGCGCGGGAGCACGGGGAGAAGGACGCGGAAGGTGTGCCCCCCCCTGCCTGTCCAGGATCCAGATAAACAGCCTTTCTCCGCCAGGGACCCGGCTCCCCCTCCGCCCCAGGCCCATCCGCCAACCTCACCTGAACAGCCTGCGGAGCTGGTCCTTCGACCTGGAGCAGATCCGGAGGCCCAAGCTCTGCAGCTCACCCTGTATCCACTCCAAGTCGGCCGGCACATCCGGAAGCCATGCCACCAGCCTGGAGGAAAGGGCAGCAAATAGCTGAGCCCGAGCGTGCGGCCCAGCAGAGCCCCCACTCCCCGCGGGCCCGGGGCAGAGCTGGGTGCCTCCCTGCACCCGAGGCCCCAGGCCCAAAGGAAGTGAAATAGGGGGTGAGAAGCCCCCGCGGTATCGGCCCCGCACGGAGCCGGGTAGCGACTCCACGGGAAGCCCAAATGGGAAAGGGCGGGGCTCTGGGGTCAGGCCACCTCAGGGTTGTGGCCCGGCCCCCCTGCTCATCAGCTGTGTGCCCTGGGCAGGTCAGGGAACCTCTCCGGGCCTCAGTTTCCTCACCCGCCTAAAGAGGACCGTCACCTGGCCTAGAGTCCCTAACCTCCTTCATATCTCTGCCCCACCCTCTCCTCCCCAGACCTGCCCTCCTTCCTCCACAGCCCTCCATCCACTCTCCTCTTAGCACCAGTGACTTTCCTGAAACATACATCTGATCATAGCCCAAACCCTCCCGTGGCTCCCCATGTGCCGGGTCAGCAGAGGGCCAGCTCATCCAATTATGGCTGAGAGCGTGCCTGGCTGGGCACCTTCCCAGACTCACGGGACACTGCAGGGCCTCACTCCCAACGTGTCGCCTTTAGCAGAGCTTCTAAACCAGGGCCTTGAACTGGCGCTCCACAGGGTGTAGTATGAGAAGCAAAACATAAGTAGACCATCACCTCCCTTGTTCTGGACCTTCTATCTCTATTATTGTAACCTGCATGTGCATGTAGGTTACAGAGAATGCTAAGGAAGAACTTCCCTGTGGTCTGAACAAGTTTTCCCATCAGTGCTCGTATCTGGACTTTTGTTTTTTGTTTTTGGCTGAAAAGGTTAGACTTTGCTTTTATCCTTTTTGACTTCAGCCTGTGGTTTCAACCTAACAGCTCAGCACGAGGAGAATCTGAGTCAGCAGAAAGCTCTCTCCTGGCTTTGGGCCACTGGCAATTTCAGCATCAGGGCTGATCCAGTGGCCCATTGTCATAGACCTCTTAGAGAATAAAGAATTTTTTTTTAAATGCAGTTCTCCCCATGACACTTCCCTACTGAAACCCTTCACTGTTAGGAAACCCACCACTGTTAGGATGAAAACCACAGTCCTCACTTGGCTATAGAGCCCCGCATGTCTAGCCCCTGCCAGCCACCGCCACACCACCTCACCACCAGCCCCGTCTTGTACAGCACCCCACCTTTTGGTTCCAGCCACACTGGCCTCCAAAGAGCCTTACTTCCTCTGCCTTCTGCCCCAGGACCTTTGCATATGTTTTCCCGTCCGTCTGAATGCTTTGCCCTTCCCTCTTTGCCTGGTGGACCCATCCTTCAGATTAGGACTCAAAAGTTACTTCCCTTAGGCAGCCATCCCTGACCAGATTGCCCCTAGTGTGAGCTGTCTCAGTTCACAGGCAGTGTAGACCTCTTTTAGGAAACACAGCCAGTATAGACCTCTCTAGGTATCTCTGGACAGAGGTGTGATTGCACAGAGGTGTGATGGTTCATGGGCTGCGAGCTCCACAGGGTGAGGGGCTAGATCTGAGTCAGGGCTGCCTCCCTATCCCCAGCCAAGCCCTGGCCAGGCCCTCAATAACTACTGGTGGAATGAATAAACCAAAAATGCAGAGTGATTCATTAGTCAGCAAAGTTAAAATGGTTAGTGAGGGCTTAACCACAACCAGTCTGTCCTGGAAGGGCCTTGGTTTTTTTTTTGTTTTTTATGTTTATTTTTGAGAGAGAGAGACAGAGACAGAGCATGAACAGAAAGGAGCAGAGAGAGAGGGAGACACAGAATCCGAAGCAGGCTCTAGGCTCCGAGCTGTCGGCACAGAACCCGACGCGGGGC